CTGACAGTTGGAGCCCAGTGGTTTCATCAGACTCAAACAACTTACTTTCCAAGTACTTGGGGTAAAGGGATCAAGGCATAGGCATCAAAGCTAACCCTGATTAACTTAGAGTGGGTCCATTTAACCCTCTGGGGAATGCCTATCCACAGGTGTAACGCCTGAGAAATGATTTCTACACATGTCGCTGCTAAGCCAATAATTCTGTGCTTCCTGACTTTCTGCCAGATCCCTAAACTGGGAGAGATGATGTCCAGTCTACGACCTGGAACCTGCAGGTCATGAGAGGGGCAGGACAGAGGGCAAGTGCATCTGCTAAGGGACATCAGAGAAGGATGGCTGGAGAGGGGAGTGTGCAGTGCCCCTAACACTTTCCCATGACCTCACTCCCAATACCAGTTCTCTGGACAGGCATACTCTACTGAGCTCAGTGACAGAGTCTGTTTCAGGTTGGGTTCCCTGGGCAGCAGACTTTGAGATGATTAGCATGTGGTATTGGGGGTACTCTCAGGTTCAACACCTACAGAGGAAGGGAAGGAAGCAGACTCGGTCAGAGGGAGAAGGTAGGGTGCAAAGTAGTCTCGACAAAGGCCTCAGCTGACCCCACCAAGAGTTCTGAAGCAGGGATGGCCTTTCGAGTTGTCTTGAGTTGGGGTGAGGGAACCAGGCCATTATACCCCAGCTTCAGATAGTCATTGGATGCATGCTGTCCCCAGAGAGGAGGATGTAACCTTGCATGAGGAAGCTCTCTTCAGTGGGGAGCAATTCCTGAAGAGGGTTGATAACTAAGGGCTGTTAGCCAGCAATACTCCCAGCAGATAGGGGCCGAAGTCCTTCAGTCATGAAGGTGGACGTGGGTGGCGTATCATGGTGTCTGCTACTCCTTATGCCACTCAGATCCACTTCTTTGTATAAGTCCTGGGAGCAGCTCTACTTTTTCTAGGGGAAACTGATGGTTACTGGGATAAACCATAGTCCTTACTACTGCAGCTGGTCTTGAGGCCCCAACTGATACTCATCATCTCCCTCCTCTGCTATCCATTTTACATTCTTAATATCCTTAGGAAGCACCTCTGCTGAGCCCCCGGTCACCATGCCCTTTTCAGGCCATGGCTGCTGCACCTATCTATTTACCATCCAAATTGAGCAAGGGTGTAACAAAGAGACACCTAGTTGGATCGTCTGGGTGCCAAACATCTTCCTTTTTGCTCCCATTGTGTAACTGTAGCCCTGGCTCTTCCTGATGATCAGGGTCAATTACTGCGCCAGGATGGTGACTTCTGCTTCTAACCTGCTGGTCCCTGGGCATGAGGAGCTCAAAGTGCCTGGTGGAAACTGTAAATTAAAGTTTAGTAGGACTTTTGCTATATCGCCTGATGGAAATGTTCCCTTTTTGGGAATCAGGATCTCAAAACCCTCAAAGCTCAGAGTTGCGGTGACTGGGATTAATGGTAAGCGGAGCCACTCCTAAGTCAACCCCTTGGTTCCATAGCACCATAATGACTGTTGACAGAGTGTATATTGTGTCCTGGAAGACGGTGCCCCATCCTTAGTTGATAGCATCTCTGTGCTGGCACCTTAGCTGTGCCCTCATAGGCCATTCCTTCTCTTTGTTCACGCTGGCATCTTATGGATGGCACAGAATGTGATAAGGCCAGTGGATCCCATGGTCATGTGCCACTGTCACACCTCCTTTGCTCTGCAGTGGGTCCTTAGGTCTGATGCGACGTTATGTGGGATCCCGTGCCAGTGGGTCACTCAGTAAACAGTGAAGACGGTGGTGCTGGCTGAAGCCCTGCAGGCAGAAAAGGCAAACTATACCCAGGATGTAGCAATTCCAGTCAAAATAAATTGCTGCCATTTCCAGGATGGAAGGTATCCAATGTAGTCAACTGGTCATCAAGTGGCTGGTTCCTCTCCTTGAAGAATACTGCCATTTTGGGGGCTCAGCATTGAAATCATTGCTGGCATTGGACATTCAGCAGTGGCAGTAGCTACAGGAGCCTTTGTGAGTGGGAGCCCATGCTGTTGGGTCCCATTCCTGCAACCATGGCTACCCCATTCACGTGCCCATTGTGCCAGTACTGAGGTGGCTGATAGCATCTGGCTGACATCAATTGGTGAGTCATTCTCTCTACTTGGTTGTTTAGTGCCTCTTTCATGGTAGATGCTCTCCAGTGGGCATCTGCACACTTCTTGCCCACTCACATAATCATTCCACATGCCTCTATCCCAGACCTCCTTGTCCTTGATCTTCTAATGTTTCTCCTCCCAGGCCCCTCATCAACTAGCCAAGCCAACTGCTAGTGCCATGAGTCCATATATATTGTAAACTTGGTTACATTTCTGTCCACACAGAGTGAATGACCAGGTGTACCACTGAGAAGATTTATCCTTTGGGAGAATTTCCCTTGCCACTGTCTTTCAAGATCACCCCAGGGTGGGGCTATAGTGCAGCCACACTTCATTTTTGGCTTGCACCCACATACCATTCTGACCTATCTGTGCATCTAATTTTGCTTTTTTTCCTCCTTTGTTAGCTGGTCATAAAGGACCCCATCTCCTATGCAGCCATAGGTGTGAGCTGAGGGAGAGCCAGTGGTGCACAAATGGTAGGTGACACGGACGTCTGTGCCACCTGCTTGTGTAGCTTACTTGTGCCCCTGGCCCTGCTCATGCCCCATTCTGGACGTACCATTTCCATCTTACTATGGATTATTGCTGGGCCTACTCAACTTTATGTTATGTTGGGTGTGGTAGAGAAGAATGGTGTAGAAGAAATTGATTTTTAAAATACATAAAGAGGAAGAATTGGTAGGCGGGTACAGACATGGAGACGGCAAGCATATTGCCATCCCTTTAAAAACAGAATCATCGTGTGAAATGAAGGAGAAAGGGATGGTATCTGGAAAGAGGAAGAGTTCAAGCCTCTTTTTTTTCAAAGCTTTTTTGAAGATGGACTTGATCGTGTTTATGTACTGAGGAGAAAGAGGCAGTGGAGATGGAAAAAAATGGCCCCATTAGAGGGGCTCAGCTGGAGTTTCTGAGAACTCATTTTGATACCCAAAACAAAACAAAAACAGAAAACAAAACAAAAAAAAAACCAAGCAGAAGTTTGGTTAAAAGTTCCCTTTTAGTCAAGGGAAGCAGCACAGGAGGAAAGTTCAATCTCCCCACCAGTTCCTCCTCCTGACCATCCTACCATCACTGAGAAAAACCTGGCTCAACAAAGTGTCAAATACTATTTTTTGTTATATACCCGTTTCTCCTTACCTGCTTTTGAAGGAAAATAAACATCAAAACCAATCCGCAGAGAAAAATCAGGCAGTCTGGATTAGATAGATCTAAATTTCAGCTCCCAGTAAAGCATAATTTTCTCTCTCTTTGGAGAAACATCTTTTATCAAGAACATCGAAAATTGCTCAGATAGCTACAGTAAGAGTAAAATTTCTAAATGCACTGCCTTGGAATGAGCACAGCTCGTTTCACATCAAGACGTCCTTCTACAATATTATTTTCTTGTTTGTCCATAAGGTACTTAAATATAAGCGTAAAAAAAGGAAACAATTTAGTGTCAAGTTTCCCTGTCGGACATCAGCAGTTTCGTTTTAACGAGGTTGGGTACACAACAGTAACTGAATGCCCTTGGAGATCATTTAGCCAGGTTGTGCATGGGTGGTGCAAAGTGGGTTTTCGGAAACCTGTTTACCTTCTCACGCTGTCACCTTGTGGTCAAAAGGAGAGGGACAGCTACTACTCGACCTAGGGCATCTGCCCCAAGTAACTCCACTCTGCTGCCTTTTACCGACAGGCCACCTGCTCACGGAGCTCTCTAGAAAGTTTCCTGGGCTTAAGGCTGTCACACTGGTCCACTCTCGGGTCGCGGGTTCGCAGAGAGAAGCCGAGGTGCCCAGACTCCGACCCTCGGGGACCCTGTAGGCGCCCGGGTTATTACAGGGCGTCTCCCGGAGAGCCAGCCGGGGAGGCCGAAGGAGGTTTTATGGCCGTTGCAGCCAAGGCCTCAGTACGGTCTCCATTCACCACAGGCGTCTACCTGTCCCGCCCCCTGCCCCAACCTGGACGCCCCCAACGCCCCGCAGAGGCAAAGCCGAGACCCCATCCCACCCCAGTCTCAAATTAGTGAACGAGGCGACGGTCCCCGCCTCTCAGAACAAGCGAGCACTGCGCCGGATTCTTAACAGGCAGCTGGCCGCGCCCCTTCGCGGGGCGGGGTCGGGCGGCCCGAAGATGGCGGCGGCGGCGGGGTCCTGCGGTCACTTTCCGCGGCGCCCTTGACTGGCTCTCGCCGCCGCTCTACCTACCCTGCTAGCGAAAGGCCCCGGAGCGCGGCGCGGAGGGGCGGTGACGAGCACTTGGCGGCGCCAATAAGCACCGAGGAGTCCGGGCCGCGCCCAATCAGGCGGCGGAGACGGGGGGCGGAGACGGGGGCAAGTTGCAGGCGGGCTGTGCATGTGGCGGACGCCGAACGCTGGGACCTCGCCTGCTGCTCGCACTGAGCCGCCCGCCTCGCTGATTCCCGCGCGCTGCACCACGGCCCCTGGCGCTGGCGTGAGGACGCCGAGGAGGCAGGGGGCCGACAGGGCCGCCCGCCCGCGGCCCGAGCCCAGGAGCGCCTCCTGCAGCGCCCGCGGCTGGTGTCACGACCGACTCTCTGCGCAAAGGGGACGCTTCCTCGGCGGTTGCTGCAAAGAGAGATGAAGGGCCTGTTGGACAGTGAGACGAGTTCGGGGCCGGCCCATTAGGCGGACCCAGAGGCCGCCCGCGCCCTCCCGGGCTCGTTCCTTTGGTGGCGTGAGGGAGGCCTCGCTCGCCTGGGGCGCGCGGCGGGCGCAGGGGGCC